AGCCTGGAGAGTGGTGCAAGCAGTAGCTGCAAGAAGAAAAGTAGGTCTGTGTATTAAACAACACATACACAGGGCATAATAGTTTTTGCAATGAGCATCTTAGAACCTATAAAAAGGTGCTAATAACAACTATTAGGCTGCTCTCACACTGATCTGCAGGTGAAGCGCAGTGAACCTGTAGCTTTCCTGCAAGTTATCTGCAGTGAGCCATAGACTTCTATTATACCCTACAGCTTTGATGCTCTTTCTAAAAGTGAACAACACCCATAAGTCTATGGCAAAGCACAACTAACCCTCAGAAAAGCCGTATGTCCACTGCGCTGTAGCCACAGTGCGGGTAAACTGCAGCGCATCCGCATGAAAGCAGTCTTATAGGGGGTTCAGGATAGTAAGGGCTCATTTAAATTTTCAGTTTGGTGGGCAGTAAAACCCCATAGTTCATTGTGGCCAACGACTGATTACCAAATCTCTTAAGTGGTCCTCGTGCTGAAAAGGTTGAGCACCCCTGGTGTAGGCTCTATTACCTACCTTACACCCTTCTCCAGTACTCTCTCCTCCCCCGCCTGAAGCTCCAGTCTGTAGGCAGGGTCATGTACAATACAGGGGCATTAACCCTGTTTTATACATGGAGGAGGCTGGAGTGTGACTGCAGGGGGCACTCGCAGAACAGCAGGAGCCAGGAGTACTAGTGGGAGACCAAAGAAGAGGAGCTTCAGGACAGCTCTGTGCAATTTCAGGGCAGGTAAGCATAACAAGTTTACATTTGTTTTAAAATGAAACTTAAAATTCACTTTAAGTACATTGTGTTGTTCTACTGTTGTGACTTGATGAGGATCAGATCACATTTTATTGCAAACTACTGCAGAAAACTAGTTAATTCCAAGGGGTTACACACTTTTTCTTGCCACTATATATGTTTAACATTGGCTAACAAAAGGCCAACAAAATAATTTGATCCTTAAAAGAAATACTGTACACGGCGGTTTAGTTCCTGCTATAAATCAACTAACTTTCAAGCTAGCAATCTTTGCCAATTACCAGCTTCAATTGCAGTCTTTCCTACATGTAAATGGGCGTCATCAGAATCACATGCTTAACCAACTGTATTAAACAAATTCATCCGAGCACACTACTATGGCAATATGACAAAGCATGTGTGCAAGGCTTGTTCATATAGAGGCTTACACAGGATACTTGGTAGGCAGTTCTAACCTCGGACAAGCACTGGTCCCATTGAGTATATTAAGCCTTCGAAGACGAGGAACTGTCATACAGTGAGAAAACCGGACAGATGAATTTGGGCCTTTAGCTAGCTATAACCTTCCGTTTCCTCTGTTGGGCCACCCCATTGGAAGGCATTCCAAACATGGGCACAACTTCACCCAAGAAAAACGAGGCTCAATGTCCTTCTGGAATCCGCACCCATCTGAACGAACCCAAAAACGTTATGGTCTCTAATGGTGGAGATACATTGTAAGCATAGTCTAGCAAATAAATCACTCCGGTAAAATGCTGAATAGTAACTGGCTTTCAAAGACCCAATACCCTTGCCTTAAGGGCCCATTTATACTTTACCATTCTTATGTGCGGTGTCATGCATTAAAACAAATGGCACCACAATGCACTAATGTATGAAAGGCACACAATGCAGAAGTGTTATTGCCCTAAAGCCCAAATCCAGCCAACATTTTCTGTTTTGTGACAGCGGTACAAGAAAGAAGGGAAAAAGCTTGTTACTAGTACAGGTTGTCACAGACAGTAATAATAATTTGATAGAGCCTCTAACAGGTCTCAATTTTACTGGGAAAAAGTGTTTTATTACAGCCTGCACTGGAGAAATTTCCCACCACATCCTGGCCATCCCACCATTTTTCTCAGAAAGCGAGAAGGACCGTCTTCAAAAAGGACACAGGCTGCGATTAAGTTCGGACAGTGGTTCTTGGGTCTTCTCTGAACAGAAAAAAAAAATGATGGCTGGAGTTGGGCTTATTCTGAGCTCTGTAATCTGATGCATGCACAAGTACACACTGATCATACAGGGTCAGGAGGAGTAAACGTCCTGGCCCTTGGGCTGTGTAATTTTCTCTGTCTCTGTTTCCTGTATTATCAGCTACATTCAAGCTCCCAAGGCCAGTTTAATTTAAATTGGTGGCTGTGAGAAACTTGCTAGTAATTGAAACTGTATACATCTCAAGGCTGCATTTGAATAGAATAGGTCCTCAGTGTTATTTGTTAGTGCAGCACAATGCAACATACTAAACTTAGTATTCATCTGTGCAGTGTGGTCTACTAGAACATTGGTGTGTTGCAGTGTTCTCTAGATGTGTGCTGGAGTGCAATTAACCTGAATTAGCAATGCTAATCTACAATGCGTTGCAGTAACCCACATTGTAATGCACCTTATGATGTGAATGAGCCCTTGGTCACTTCCCAGAAACAGGTATGCAGATCAGGAATTTCAAAGTGCTGGATCATTACTCCTCATGCACACGGGGGGGGGGGGGGGGGGGCACTTTCAAAATGCCGGTATCGTTAGCTGTATACAGTCATGTTAAAACCGCAAGTTTTTCCTAATTTTTTAGCGTTTTGGAATTAGCGTTTAGCTGTTTTTCAGCTTTTTTTTTCTTAACACAGAAAATAAAATTGCCCCAAAAAATGCTTTTCCTCATTTACCAGCGATAGAGCATTGTTACAGCTAAAAAAACTCCTAGAAACCCACTAGTTCTGGGTTTTTTGTTCCAGCCAAAAAAACACCCCTGCCAAAAAAACGCTGATTAAAGCCTATGGGGTCAATTCACTAGAGGTTACCCGCGTGCAATAACATTGTGACATGACTCATTTGCATAAATTATTGCATGCGGTAAAAAAATGTGCAATTCACTAAAAAATATATATAATGATCCTGCAGTATTTAGTGCAAAATTAAAAATGTATCGGTAAATACCGCAAAATAAACATGTGTTGAACTGTTAAGCCCAATTCACAAACACAACAGAAAATAAAAAAGATGCAATATTTATCACCAGAAATTTGCTGGCGGTATTACATGCAATGTTTTTTTCAGATGCATGGAGGGGGTACCACCCCCACCCCTAGGGTCTGGTATGGATATTAAGGGGAACCCTACACCAAAGTTATTTAAAAACCAGCGTGGGGTTCCCCCCAGATCCATACCAGCCCCAATATTGTGAGGTGACCCGCACGTCATTTTGTTTTTTTTTTTTATTTTGGTGTGGGGTTCCCCTAAAATCCATACCAGACCAAACAACGGTTAATTTGTTTTTTAATTCTGGTATGGGGTCTTCCTTAAAATCCTTACCAGACCCAAAGGGCCTGGTATGGATGGGGAGGGGCCCACACTGTTTTTTTCATCATTTGTAATTGCTGGCATGTTTTGTGGGACACCCGTTGACAGATGATGAGTTATCCGTTGTTAAGGACACCGCGGCTGGCTTCCTTAACAACCAGCTACCGTGCGATAAATTACCACAATACAGATATTTTACCAAAAAAGTTTTTTACTGCAAAATTCTTAGTTAATTGCATATTTGCAAAAAATTTACCGCATGCATTATTTTACCACATATTTTCAGTCGTTATTTAACTCTTAGTGAACTGACCCCTATGTGTGCATGGACACATAGGATAACATGCTGGGAGTTTACTGGCTGTAGAAAAAAAAATGCAAAAACAGCCGCTGTAAAAAAGTCCAGGATTTACAGTAAAAATATTCAGCTTGAACACTTTGTTTTTTTTAAACCCCTATGTTCCCATAGAGAAATAAGTGGTTTGTAATTTCTTGTTCTTTAATTTATTTTAAAGAGGAGTTTCCCTAGCGTGAAAACAATGAAGACAATGCTTGTCAGGTCTAAGATTGGCCAGACAGTAGAGAGCATAGCAATGGTCAAACAAGAAAACCACCCTCAAGCATATGTATCTTCTGGGAGGTTCCTAATTACCAGAGTTTGCATATGAAAAAGTAAGGTGGAGGGGGGGGTGCCAATAAAATACCTCTGGTGTTGGGGGGAAGGGGGGGGGGGGGGAGAACAGCAACCAGACAAGGGATCTGATCTTTTCTCCCAAAAAAACCTCAGCAAGGTCTGTGGAAAGTCATAAAAGATTAAATTATTACCTAAAGCAGCAAAATTAGCCAACTTTCATCTCTCAAGACTGGGCAGCTTTGGATTTACTATATACAGCGGGTAAAAAGAAGTATTGAACACGTCACCAATTTTCTCAGTAAATATATATTTGTAAAGGTGCTATTGACATGACATTTTCACCATATGTTGGCAACAAACCATGTAATACATACATATAAAAGAAACCATAACAAATACGTTCAGAAATTAAGCTTTGTGTAATAAAATGGAATGACACAGAGAAAAAGTATTGAACAAGTGAAGAAAGGGAGGTGCAAAAAGGCATGGAAAGCCAAGACACCAGCTGAAATCTACCAGTAATTAGAAAGCAATCCTGCCTCTTGTCAGTGTAAATTAAAGTGATACTAAACGCTGTTTGATCCTGTCTTCTCTGATCCTCTATTTTTTCCAGTGTCCCACTCTTATCTCCTGACAAGACATATAGTGTAGAGACACACTGCACATGCTCAGTTTGGTGTGTGTTGCTTGAGGAGGTTTTTTTCTTCTTGGGAGAGTGCATGTAATCAGCACAGGGACATTCAGAACTGCCCAGACAGTGGTCAGGGGTTCTGCATCCTCCTACAGCAAAATGAAATCTCCTCCTACAAACCAGTGCTTGGCTGGACACTCTTATGCAGCTGAGAACAGAGGGATTGTGAAAAAAAGGTATTTATAATGTCTTTTATATCTATACACAAATGTTTTGACTTTCATTTCTATTTCAAACTGAATGGGTGGTTTTAAGGGTTTACAATCACTTTAATGTAATGCAATTAAGGCACTACAATAGTATGAATGGGCTCCTAAATGTGTACTTTAAAGGTACCGTATTTTTCGCTCCATAAGACGCACCTGACCATAAGACGCACCTAGGTTTTAGAGGAGAAAAACAAGAAAAAAAAAATATTCTGAACCAATGGGCTGCAGACACAGTACAGGGATGACCAGAGACTGCGGACACAGTACAGGGGATGACCAGAGACTGCGGACACAGTACAGGGGATGACCAGAGACTGCGGACACAGTACACGGGATGACCAGAGACTGCGGACACAGTACAGGGGATGACCAGAGACTGCAGACACAGTACAGGTGATGACCAGAGACTGCGGACACAGTACAGGGGATAACCAGAGACTGCGGACACAGTACAGGAGATGGCCAGAGACTGCGGACACAGTACAGGAGATGGCCAGAGACTGCGGACACAGTACAGGAGATGGCCAGAGACTGCGGACACAGTACAGGAGATGGCCAGAGACTGCGGACACAGTACAGGAGATGGCCAGAGACTGCGGACACAGTACAGGAGATGGCCAGAGACTGCGGACACAGTACAGGAGATGGCCAGAGACTGCGGACACAGTACAGGAGATGGCCAGAGACTGCGGACACAGTACAGGAGATGGCCAGAGACTGCGGACACAGTACAGGAGATGGCCAGAGACTGCGGACACAGTACAGGAGATGGCCAGAGACTGCGGACACAGTACAGGAGATGGCCAGAGACTGCGGACACAGTACAGGAGATGGCCAGAGACTGCGGACCCAGTACAGGAGATGGCCAGAGACTGCGGACCCAGTACAGGAGATGGCCAGAGACTGCGGACACAGTACAGGAGATGACCAGAGACTGCGGACACAGTACAGGAGATGGCCAGAGACTGCGGACACAGTACAGGAGATGACCAGAGACTGCGGACACAGTACAGGAGATGACCAGAGACTGCGGACACAGTACAGGAGATGACCAGAGACTGCGGACACAGTACAGGAGATGACCAGAGACTGCGGACACAGTACAGGAGATGACCAGAGACTGCGGACACAGTACAGGAGATGACCAGAGACTGCGGACACAGTACAGGAGATGACCAGAGACTGCGGACACAGTACAGGAGATGACCAGAGACTGCGGACACAGTACAGGGAATGACCAGAGACTGCGGACACAGTAAAGGGAATGAAAAGAGACTGCAGACATAGTACAGGGAATCACCAGAGACTGCAGACATAGTACAGGGAATCACCAGAGACTGCAGACATAGTACAGAAGACCAGAGACTGCAGACAGTGCAGGGGATGACCAGAGACTGCAGACAGTAAGAAAAGGAGATTACCAGAGACTTCGGACCTTTGGGGAGGGAGGGGGAACGGGTACCTGAATTTGACAGGTACCCGCTCCCACTTCCGCGGAGTTGTCCTTCCCTCTTCTTCCCGCGGTGGCTTCTGTGACAGCCGGGTGCCCCCTGCGCATGCGCGAGAAGCGCTGCGCTTTCCGAATGGCCCGGAGCCTCACAGGTCCCAGAAGACACTGGACCATTCGCAAAGCGCGGCGCTTCTCGCGCATGCGCAGTGGGCACCCGGCTGTCACAGAAGCTGCCGTGGGAAGACTGCAGCGCTGGAGCTAGGAACAGGTAAGGTCCTGCAGGAGAGAAGAGCTGAGCGGCCGCCCGATATTCCGACATGGTGGCGGCAGAAATACCGGACTGGCCACTTTACATTCGCTCCATAAGACGCACTGACTTTTCCCCTTTGGAGGGGAAAAAAGTGCGTCTTATGGGGCGAAAAATACGGTAATTTCTTCTGCGTGTTCAGCACCACATGTACAATTTTGAGTATTATAGTTTATTGTTTCTTGCAAGTGTATGCTTTTTTAAATTACATATTTGGACTCTATTTTTTTTTTTTTTAAATAGTTTCATCTTTTATCATTTAAAAAAAAAAAAAGATCTAAAGTGTGTTTGTGTACTAAAATTAACTTTGTCAATTTTTACTAAAAAGATTTAATAGTTGCAGAAAACCCCCAAAAAACATTCTTTTTATTTGCTTTCAGGTCATGATCCCCTTGACAATGTCTATTGAGACGAAACGTATGTCGAGGCTGGGCGTAGATTGTGCCGATGTCACCCACACCTGTCTGGAGCTAGCACCAGCGGCATTTAGAATTAAACTGCTCATTTGTCTTTGAAGTTTGTACGTTTTTTTTATTCATTTTAATAAATCATTTGTACGTTATCACACTACCTGGAGTATTATCCTTTTTGACCGAGCACACAGTGGTTCACAAGAAGGGAGGAAAAGAGAAGATCCCGAAGTCTGTGACACCTCTCTGCAGCATCATGCTCGGTTAGACCACCTATAATCTGGGGTCTAACTATTCGGAAAGGAGCAGTGTGCGTTTTGTGATGGTGGGCACGAAAGTCTCTATTTCACTACACATGTAGAGTTTTGAAACTCCTAATACACACAGCTGTTCATCATAATCGGGATTTTGTCATAAAAAAAACTTTCAATGTTCGAAGTTTCATGCATTTTGACTTAATAATATTGATAGGAGCACATTTAAAGTATAAATGACTCGCTATTTGTATACTTTTTATCAATATCGCAATAATAACTGGATATCACATAATGGTAAATGCTTGTTTGCAGCTTGTTAAGAATATGTAAATATCTATATGCCCATTGGCTGGCCACAGGTTCACAATTTTTTGGTACAGGGACACTAGTATAAATGCATAGAATTTGATGATATATCCTTTTTTTTGTTAAGCTGGCCATAGACTGGCTAGTGGATATTTTTTGCTCAGCCTGCAGGGTGAATGAAAAATGTCTAAAACACAGGGGGTGTGGAAATTTTTGAAAAAAAAAAACAAAACTACTTGTCCAAGGGACTAAATTGGGCCCCAATCTACTTGTCCCTCATGACAATCTACTTGTCCAGATTTAAAAAAAATAAAAAAATTAACCAAAACCTTATTTAAATCGGAGGTGATTTTAGGAATGTCTGGGGCTTTTAAAAGCAGAAGAGGCTTTATGGTGACTTAAACGTGTAATATTTTTAACATTGTGCTGTTTATCTCCTCCTCCCCTCCCTGCCTGTCTCCAACACCGCACCCAGGGACTAGCAGGGAGGAGAAAGACCTTGCAGTGTAATGAGCACCGACTGGCTGCTCATCAGGAAAGGGTGGGTCCAGGGGCGGACTGACCATTTGGAAACTTGGGCACTGCCCGAGGGCACGGGGTCAGCAGGGGGCCCCATGAGATGCCCCTGGTACCTTTTACATAGGCTTTTTTGAGTTTGGGGAAGGACACAAGGGCCCCATGATCCCCTATGATTGCCCGGGGGCCCCATGAGTTGTCAGTCCGCCCCTGGGTGGGTCAGGGCTTATACTTTATCCCTTTTTGGCTGCCAGAACCGTTTTTGCATTTTCATTGCCAGAGATGTTTTTGTGTTTTTTGCACACGTTTAAAAAATCATTTTAGGCCTGAAGATGACATAAAACCCCTCAAACATTATATGTTTTCTGAAGGCCTAGAGAATAAAATAGTGGTAGTTCCAATTTTTTATGTCACATGATATTACCACAAAATTTCAGTAAAAAATACAAGCAAGTTAATTTTAGGGCACAAAAAAGCAATTGCCATTTTTTTTTTGTAAAATATAAAAGATGAGGTTGCATCGAGTAAATAGATATCCAACTTGTCAAACCTTAAATTTGTGCATGCTCGTGAATTGGCAACAAACTTCAGTCCCCTATATTTTCTATAGGTCGACACCTGTAAAGCTCCTTATAGGTCATCAGTTTAGCATTACAGAGGAGGTCTGGTACTAGAATTATTGCTCTCATTCTGGCGTGCATGGCAATATGTAACATGTGTATCGCAATTGACGGTTTCATGCGTAGGCGTCCCAACGTGTGCTTTTAAGTTTGCACATGCATATATGTGGGGGTGGGGAGCTCAATATTTTTTTTTTTTTGGGGGGGGGGGGGGGGAGTGGCATGTGCTTGGGTGTAACTTTTTTTTTTCTAATTGTAAAAAATGAAACCTTTTTAGTTTACTTTTTTTTCCCATCACATAGGGGACAAAGACCCCTATGTGATGATTTTTAGTGACAGGTTCTCTTTGAGACATCCAAGGTCTAAAATACCCTGGATGTCTGCCCTCTGCTCCACTGGGGATTGCTCTACAATCTGTCAACAGGGACCCGGAAGTGACATCATAACGTCACTTCTGGGTAAGCACAAGAAGGGGAGGGGACTTGTCCGCTCTTCTCCCTCCCCTCTAGCCAACGACGAGCCGGGAGCCCACAGCGCTGCCGCCGATTGCTTCACCTGACAGGCAAGCTCTGCTCCTTGCCCGCAGCAGGGCTAAAGGTAGAAAGAAAGTACCTGCCCGGCACCCAGAACAACATGTCCCAGGTGTAAGGCGATAGAAGTCCAACATCCCTGCTAACAGATTCCTCATTCCACACTAACAGCATGGATGGACAAATCCCTCCTGCCGAGCAAGAATATGCCGGACAGCTGCAGGCACTGGCTGTCACAATATACAAACAGCAGTTACCTCTGATTGAATAGTCTGTCCTACTCCTTTGTTTTTCAATCAAAGGATGTTGGGAAGAAGGAAGCCAAAAAGGCTACCCACATAGCGAACTTTGCCCAGCTCATTAAAAGAGAAGTATGTCTTTCCAGGGAAAAAAAACAAAACATTTATACTCGCTTATTCGATCTGACACTGCATCTGTCCCCCCCATTGGAACTAAATGCTCAAAACACCACTGATCACTCAGTTCTCCCCTCCACTCTGAGCTGAGAGTCGTGACTGTCAGTCACCGGCTCTCTGCTCTGCCCGTCTAAACGCTCACTGGATCATTGGGCCGTGGAGAGGGCGGGAGGGCTGGCTCAGACTCTTAGACTGTCACTGAGAGGCCGAGCCAGCTGCCGATCCAGACCATATGATTGGGATTTTTTCAGAGCCTGGACCGGGTTTGTGACATCATCAGAGAGTGGGCTTTAGCCCAATGTCCCATAAAAACAGGTCACAGGAGTGCAGAACTAATTGCAAAAAAGCTTTGGCTACACTTCTCCTTTAAAAGCCGGCCAAAATTCACTCAGTGTATGGCCAGCTTTAGGTCCCTATTATGCTATCAACTATCATCTACAGAGAACAGACAGAGTAAACACTAAACACCTTAGGCAAGACCCAACATTCCACTTTAATGAATCATAAATAACCACTCAGGAGATCTTGGTTTTCCAACAAGGGTCTTGAAATGTAGCTGCCTCTTTATCAAAGGGATAGTAAACTGTATCAAATCTAGACACATTCTAATGCCAGAGTTGGCCTTATATTATCCAGCAATTATACTGTTCCCTTTTATATGAATTAGCAGTTAATTGATAAAGTCAATACTTTAAAAATGGCAAATGTAAATGTGTTAAATTGTCAAATGTACTATTTATGGCATTATTACAGAGGCCTAGAATTTCCATTGAAGAACAGAAAATCTAAATGAAGTCAAGGGTTTTTTCCAAGTCCACTGTCATAAACTTATCTTCATAAACACACATAATAGTCTGATGAGTGCATATCATTTATTCAACATTTTATAAGTATGCTTCATGACCCTCAAATCAATGACAACTGGTGCTATGGTACGTTCATGGGTTACAAAGTCAAGTATATACACGATAAACAAAATACAGCATTTAAGGTGCGCTAGAACATTACATACATGAGAAACTAATAAATGGTCATATACAGTATGTACATGCAATTGACAAGTATCATGAAAGATATTGCATTCAGAATTACCACATTATTGCACCACCTAATTTACTCCTAATTAGGCTCTGCATAACTTTCATCCTTGCGCAGAAATCAGAGAGAGAAATATGGTGGCTTCCACTGTGGATCTCCTAAAAATACTCCAGAACAACATACAAGAGATGCTGGGAACTTCTAGACTTGCAG